AAGGGGATTTTTCAGGAGGCAACAGGACTTTCTTTGTTTTTTCTTTGAAGACATTTTGCTTCTCCTCCAAGAAGCTTCTTCAGCTCTGACTGGATGGTGGAGAATAGAAAGGTTTATATTCCTTGCAGACAGCTGGTCATTTGCATCCTTTTTAGAGAGTCGTTGAGGCCACTTGGAGGTTTATCTGTGTCCTCAGGGTCACCTGAGTAGCTTCTTGGAGGAGAAGCGAAATGTCTTCAAAGAAAAGACACAAAAGTCCATTTGCCTCCTGAAAAAGCACCTTTGGGACAACCATGAGCTGGATGACTGAGAACCTCCCTGGTCATTTCTTAAGTGAGTTTTGGCCCATTTTACGATCTTTATTGCCGCCATGTTGAAGTGAATCCCTGCAAGTTATTAAGTTAGGGACGCGGTTGTTAAGCGAATCTGGCTTCCCCCATTGACTTTACTTGTCAGAAGGTCACAAAGAAGGATCACGTGACCCCAGGACACCGCAACCCATCATAACTACAAGCCAGTTGCCAACAAGCATCTGAATTTTGGTCACGTGACCACTTGGATGCTACAACGGTCTCGAAGTGTGTGGGAAAAAACAGTCACAAGTAACTTTTTTCAGTGCCATTGTAACTTTGAACAATCGCTAAGCAAGCTGTTGTAAGTCGAAGACTACTTGTAATCCAATAAATTGATGCTAAAAGTTAAAGTAACAGAATTCAAGACGGATTGGACTTCTTAGACCATTTGTGAGAACGTAAAGATTCCAGGCTGATCTCTCTTCTTGACTTCACCTTGAGGCTCGGTCTGTCCTTCTACCGTATACATTTTCTTCACTGAAGTAGATGTTTTATTTATTGTACCCCGCCCTTATTATTTTTACAAATAATTCAAGGCAGCCGTCATATCCAACAGACCTTCCTCTTCCTATTTTCCCCACCTGGTGAGGTGGGTTAGGATCACCCAGCTGGCTTTCATAGCTAAGGCAGGACTTGAACTCGCCGTCTCCTCTTTCTAGCCTGGTTCCTTAACTACTAGACCAAACTGCCTCATGGCTCATGGTTCTGTGCTCGGAGATGTGCTTTGAACGTGGGAGAAGATTACTTCTAGAATTCACAGTTAGCCCTCAGGCTAATTGTGTGGCTTTAATTTGTTGGCATTAAGCTTAATGGAGCTTAAGCCCTCAAGCTAAATTTATTTAAGCCCTCAAGCTAATATTGCTGCTTTAATTTGCTTACATTGTGTAGCTATTGATTTCACACCATTCTGCCTCAGCTTTCCTGCTCTGCCTACCTTATCTGGGGTGTGTTTTGTGGGTGGGCATGTGGGCATATTCAACCCCCAGATACACTGTAGACCAGGGATATACAACTTTGGCAACTT